TCCAGAGGATGAGTGTGTGTGTAGGGGGGAGAGGGAGGGAGGAGCCTGACCCACCCATCTCCTCACAGAGTAAAGAACGCACAGCGGGGGCGGTGCCCTCAACGCCCCTCCCAAACCCTGCACACCTTCACCGTGGTTCCTTTAAAGAAAGATCACACTGGATGGAGTGGGAGAAAAAAAAAGAAAGACTGGCAGCTTCCCATCTTTATTTCCTCTTTTGGTTTCCTTTAGGTGTTGTTGTCTGAAGAAAGAGACACAAACCAGAAAGCTGCTGGACCAATAACTGCAAGTGTCTATTCTAGTAACATTATATCAGTACCAAATGGATAGTTAGTGAATAGTCTGTCAGTACCTACAGTAGATATGGCTATCTTGTGGTTGGTCTATGCTACCCTGTCCTCACCCCCTCCTCTCTCTCCTCTCTCTCGTCTCGTCTCGCGTCTCTGCTCTCTGTGCTGTGGGGAGGTATTGAAAGCGCCTCGCCCGCTGCCGCCCTCCTGGCTGCTCCTTCCTTCCCCCTCTCTGTAGGGCGAGCAGAGCCTCGTAGCAGATAATCGTCTGAACAGTACTGTATTTATGTGAATAAGATGTGAACCCTCCACTTTCTTCAGAGCCATAGGAGAGAGGGTGATGCTCCGACTCTCCATGACTTTGTTTGGTTTGAGTTATCTTCATCATGTGACACTCCACTGGGGGGGGGGCATCAGTTTACTTTAAGGTTGACAGTATAGACGTTACTTTGCACTGATTCATTGAGTCATTGTTACGTAATTGGACCATTTTCCTCGTATTACGTCCAACAGTGTCTCATTACAACCAGGTGTTATCCCCCAGCAGACCGTATACAGCAGTGGTTCCTAATTATTTTTCTGAATATTTGCTTCTTAATTGTGAAATACTGGAGGACAGTAGAACATGAGACAGATAATCTGTGAAAAAAACAGGTTCTTCTGGATCGTTTTAGTTCTCCTAATGACATTTACAAGAATCCACCGGGGCCGGATTAAGGACGTAAAGATGCTTTCGGTTGGAGGCTTGAGAGAGACAAGAGAGGCAAGAGAGTTGATTGTTGAGTCTTATTCCAGTACAGTCGCTTTGGTCCTCTGGGAATCTTTTCTTATCTGTCTCATGTTCCACTGGGAGAATAAAGTGAAAGTTTCAGCAAATATGACAAAAAGCTATATTTCTAAAAATGACCTACTGCAGCTTTAACTAAACCGGACCAATTATTGTAGTTTCCTGGGAGCCTGTGCAAAACGTTGAGCCATACGTCACCAAACTACTAGCAATTTTATTCTCACTGGAACAAGTTGCCTTCGATTTTTAATGAATTACCAAAAAAAAAAAAAAGAGCTACTACACTTTGTTCTGCAGTTTCATTACAAAAAAATAGAGAGGCAGTGTCCATCTTTTCAATGTTGAGTAGTTACACCACTACTTTTAGGGAGTGTGCTGGAACTGTTTTACCCCTGCTTCCAGTATTTATGCTAAGCTAAGCTAATCACCTCGAGACTCTAGCTCCATACTTAGACATGTGAGCAGGAATTGATCTTTAAACAATCAGCACAGACTGAACAAAGTGATAACAGCACACTGTTCACTCCCGTAGCTTTGTCTCCAATAACGAGGATAGTATCTCATCAACAAACACAAACCAAAAGCCCCGATCAATGTGTGTGTCCTTTTTGAGTCCAAACCTTTTGTAGATTCTGGATTTGTTACAAGACAACTACAGCCGGCCATCTGGAGTCACACAGTGCTGGAAACTGCAGCATTTATATCACAGTTTAAGGGACTGCTGTAACTCAAGACAGCTAAAGAAGCCAACCATCTGTCACGTTACATTTAATTCAATTTATTGCCTCATCGCAACTACACATTCCTTTGCTTTAAGGGCCAACGCCAAAACGGGTTGGGAACCACTGATGTATATACACTACACTGGCTGTGACAACACCTCCTGGCCACTGTTCCAGTATCAGTAGTTTTATCAGCAGGCGGATATATCGGCCTGGCCCTGTTTCCCATCCTGCTCGCTGGTTTAAAAACAACCCAAAACTCCAAATGCCAACGATTCCCTTCAAGTCTCTCAGTAATTGCTGGGCGGCCCCCGGGTCCCCTGGGTGTCTTTGGTAGCAAAGCTGTGGTGTTTTGAAGTGTTTTAAAACCAGACGAGCTGGGTTCACTAGAAACCGCGCTCCGACCCAGTTAAGACATTCCTTGTTGTTGAAACGAACCGTTTTCCCAGCGCTCCCCGAGGCGAATGAAAGCGCCACTGGAATCATAGCGGTTTGTCTTCACTGCACTTTAAATAGCAGAGCAGGTACTGCGTCTCTCGCTGCGTTCTGGGTTCCACCTCTCAGATCGCAGCAGAGACCAGTGAACTGCCAGATAACCACTGCAGGGCGGGATTTCCTCAATTATTATTTTTTTTAAACCGGACACCCTGAAATGTTTCTCCTCTTCATGTATGACGCTCTCACCGTACGTTCTGCCATCCGCCATCTTTATTGTGGTGTTTCGTTGTGTGCAGTACAAGAGAAGCACAGTTAAGTCTGAAGCAAATAAACCTGGACGACCAATCAGAGGGCTAAGACGGGCGGGACAAGGAAGAGGATTGGACAGTGCTTGCAAAAAGGGGACCTGTATGAAACTGCTGGATGGGTCCCATCACCACTGTCCAGTCCTTGTTTATTGGCAGTAAGAACAGGAAACACACAGTTACGATCACACTGCAGAGCGCCGACGCAGAGAATAACGTGCGTACACACAGGGTCCCTCTGCCATGCAATAACCGTAGCACTCGTACACACAGGCTCAATAAATCTAACGTCCTCCAGGTTTATTTCCAATGTGTTTACATTTTCTGGTGCCTAGTACAGAGAACAAAAAAAAAAAGAAGTGGTTTCCGTGCATTAAAAAAAAAATTATATATATATACAGGAATTTTTCTGTGTTCACCTGTCCAATGACTCTTTTAACTGTAAAAGTACTGTTTTATCTTTTGGGAATTTTATTCATTTGCTCCTTTTTTTCTGTTCCAAGTTTTACAAGAGGGTCATTTGAAATAAAGGCTGTTGAATCCTGGATTGAATGCGTTTTTTATTCCCATGGCACACCAACACAGTCCCCTTTAAGCTCCAGTACAACACTGCCGTTAACATTCACTAAAGGAAGTCCTTTCACATGCAGGCCTGTCTGATACGCTGTTTATATCCAGTTCCTTTTTATTCCTCCGCTGGCAGGTGAGTTTACTTGAGAGGTGAGCTTTCTTTGTTGTCAGCCCACAGACTCTTCATTATTGATGGCAGCTTGTCAGGAGGGATCTTACTAGTTCCTTCACGTGATGCATTTTTCCAAACCTGATCGCATACTTCACAGAAAGAGGAAAAGGTCAGTCCAGTTGATCACATACGATGAGTTGAGGACACAGCGTTTGTGCATTAATAAATCATTACCACATTAACTCTGAGACATTATTGTGATTGATTTAAACAAAGAGGACCAGAGCTGGGGAACCTAGCTGTGTGTCGGTCTCTAAATTGGTGTCTTCCAGGTATCAACCACCGTGAAGACAGAACAAACAAACCTAAAACATTTGCAGATGATAAAAAAGCGTGAAAAGCTGATGTAAAGAATTCCCTTGCAACATTTTAATCAGCTCAGTGAGAGTGGTGGGAAAGGGGTTATGAGAAGTACGTGTTGAAACCATCAACATATAGAAAGATGGACGTCTCCACACCCAAAATATCCCAGATACGGCTTCTGCCATCTTTCACCCAGTCGACTCAATCGCTTTTTAGAGCTTCAAATAACTAATAAATCATTAATTAAAACCTAACTTATCAGAAAAAGTATGGCAAACACTTGAACATACGTGTGAAGAGATACCACAAATCATCTTTTGGGAAAAATTTATTTTACTTAGATTTTTGTCCCATCTGGTAACATGGAGGCCGCTGCCATGCTTTATGACCATATCCGGATATAACGTCCATCTTTTATATGTCGATGGTTTAAAACAAATCAGTATTTTAGGAAATGTACTTACTTCCCTTCAATCTGAATGTGACGTGAGAAAAACTGCCAACATCTTTCTTTCTTTAAGTACAGAGCTGGAGGTTGTGGTTAGCCTAGCTTAGCTTAGCACGGGAAAACAGCTAGCTTCAAAAATACATCTACCAACACCTTTAAAGCCATTTTTACACATTCAATCTAGTCTGTTTAATACAAAAACTAATTGTAGTGTAAAAATCCCAATTACATTTTACAGGGAGTTGTTTTTTGTTGTTGTTTATTTCTCTGTCTGTTCCCAAAGCTGTACTTAAACCACTTAACTTCCCCTAAACCCACAAATAGTTGGTTTTTACTTTTCTGCTCATGTACTGGTTAAATAAATGAGGTGCTGGTAGATATATTCTTGAACTCTGGAGAGTGCTACACTAGCTCTTGACAGTCTTTATGATAAACTAGCTACTTTATATAACAGCTGGGTCCAAAATGAACTTTGTGGCTCATGTGCCAATAGCAGGTAAACTGAGAAAATTCTGCCAAAAAACGGCCGTAAAACTGCATCATGCTTTATTTGACTAAAAGTAGTTCCCTCAAGTTTTAAGCCTTTTTGAACCTTAATATTTTAGCCAGGAGTTTGGGGCTTCAGTGTCGCCCAGAGGTCGCCTGTTGCAGGACCTCGATCTCCTTGTCTCCATGTCTTTCTTTTTGGTGTCGCTAAATCTCAAATAACGTGTATCGCAGATGTTTCTTACAGTAAACATATAGACATTGTGTAGAAAGTGCTAGAGCAGTGGTTCCCGACCTGGGGTCCCTATACTAGGGGGCACCAAAGCTTCGTGGGGGTCGTGAGGCCTTCTTGATTTTAAGGCATGTAAGAAAACTTAAAAAATATAAACAGTAAGCCTATATCTCAACATTTGGTTCACTTCTGTGAAGAAAAATAAATGTAAAGTAAATTCTCTAGAAGAACAATGAGAAGAAAACACTGAATTTGTCAGAAAATAAGCTGATTAAGTCTGTATGATTGTTAACAATTATAAACAAATACATAATACAGACAGAGAATTGTATAAAAAGTTCCCTAAACAGGAAATAATCTGTCAAAATGCATCCATATCTCTGGTTTTACACAAACTTCCTGCAGTTCACTGCACAGTTTGAATATAATATGAAATATCTATAAAATACGCCACTGAGTCAGTTTATTAATGATAAAAAAGGGGTTCCTTAAGGAAAAAAGGTTGGGAACCACTGCGCTAGAGCATTGTGAGCTGCTTTGATTTGATACGGTGGACAGTGAGGGTCATATAAGTCCCAGCCGCTACGTATAAAAAACATAAAGTGATGTAAATCTGTCCCTAAATCATTTACCGGACATCTCGCCGATAACCCCAATTTTTTTTTCAGCCAAACTCAAAATTTACCTGCATTTTGGCTTTTAATGTTAATTCTGAACCGTGGCAAACAGCATCCTGATTCCAGCTTTGTTCTTAATGCACACACAGGAAACAGCATCACAATAGCACTGTAATCTGCACCACAGTTACTCTGACGATGTATTAATGATTAAAAATGACATTAATGATTTACATGGCACTTTTCAATTCAGCAACACGATATTTTTTTACATTTACACTTTAGTTTTTTTTTACATCAGCAAGCCATGGATGTTGGAAATGAGTCGTCCCACTTTGTAAAACGAACATTTTTTGGTGCTGTCCAGTTCTCAGAGTTTGACAGACAGCCAGATGTCTTGAATCATGCAGCTCCTCAGAGTCTGTGTCCTTCGTGAACAGATTGTATTTGCCCGATAAGGAGAGAGTGCTATCGTTAGTCCCAGCCAAGAGATGATGGCCAGCCACAGTCAGCTTCTGGATCCGCTGCTCAGCTCATCCCCTCACACCTCGATGACCACAGTGTCCTTCCGATGTTTGGGCTCATTTGCAAGATGCGGTTTCTCTGTGCGAGTGTGCCAAACCAGCACCTGAAAAACAGAAGAAGAAAGCGAAGAAAGGATGAAAAAATCAGCTGACAGTAGAAACACTGGCTACTAAATAAAGAATGAACAGGCTGTTATGCTTGAATAAATACGGCACGGTTGCAGGTGGAAGGCAGAGCTTCACTGATACCGTGGATGATAAAAGACTTCAATTGATATTTTTTTGGTTCAAAGCCTTAATTTGTTCATGTGTCTGCTACCAGTAATGACACAGTATTTAAATACTCCACTTAAAGGCACCCAGTGCAGGTTTTTGAACACTAGTAGTGCTGTGGAGCAATGTACACAACTGATTGACAGTAGCAATGTGCTAAACATGGATGTACACAATGTAGCTCTCTAATGTGACGTTACGTAACGTCATGCTGCCGTAAACCGCGATCAAAGTAGTTTTATGATTACGAGCACATGAGCACAGTATCAGATCCGACCCCCGATGTTGCTGATCGGTATCGGTGCGTCCCTAGCTGTAAATGTCCTCCATAGTTCACCTTTCACCTACAGTAGACAGTCACTGTACAGTGAGGTTGTTACAGAGATCTGGATGCTATTGCTTTCTAAATAAAAGGCAACTAAAGACTGAACATTGAAGACCTTATTAAATCCAACCTGTGTAAAGTCATCTTCTAAATAAGAGAGATCTGATCCCAGAGGGACCCTAGGACAGTAGAAGCACGATGCTCAGAAAAGAGAAAGTGTGTGTTGTTAGCAGCAGATCACAGATCTGTGTGTGTCTCTCATCAAAAGACAAACGTTTACTCCTGTGATGGTAATTACATATGATCAGAACTGCTAACGAGTCCCTTCAGATCCACATGGGTGTTAAGAGATATTGACACAAAGATCAGAGACGGGCAGAATGACGCACACTTCAGTATATTCCACTATATTGGTCTAAAGCTGGTGGGGAAGTTGCATTTCCCTGGCTGGAAAGACTTTTTGAAGTAAAGGCTTCATTGCTTGATGATGCTCTGATGAAATATCTGTCAAATGAAAGACACTGCTGTATTCTTTGAAACAGATTGCATTGTATCCTCCTGTTGTTGAATTTGATGCTCGGGTCTGCCGGGAGGGATTCCACACACACAGGAAACAGCCTGACACCTCCTGAAATGGATCAAATCAAAAGCAGCACGCACCTCGCTGCAGCTGTTTGTCTTGTGTTTGCAGCCAATTTCACAGCAATATGTTGGTGAGAAAACACACCGCGGATGCAAAGATTCTGATTTTCCTGGAGAAAAAGGAGAGTTTCATTCTCTAGAGATTAAAGTGAAGTTATTTGTATTAAGGATGTTTTTTTTTAGTGAATAGCTAATGAGTTTATAATTCACACGTGTGACATTTCTGTGTCCAAAGAGGAACGGATTCACAGAGGTATGATTTATTGCTGGCTGCCGTTGTTTCTGGGCTTCTTCAGGTGGAACATGTCACTTCCTGCACACTGTGCTGCTAATTGGCCCACTTTGCATATCTAACGAGGCTAATGTAGCAGCCACTAAAGCATCGCTCCAGAGCTGTGGGGAAAATGGCACTGAATGTGTGAGTCGGTGCCCTCCCTGTTCCCCTGGACTCGCACACCTCTCTTCCTCCTTCCTCCTGGTTTTCTCTCCATTTTCCTCATTCATCACTTCCACTTTTTCTCTCATGGCTCTGCTCTAGTTTTTACCTCTCCCCCCGCACGCTCTCTTGCTCTTCCTCCCTGAGGCAACCTGGAGACAAAAAGCTTTAGCAGGTTAGAGCTTTTTCTTTTTGCCTTAATGGAATAAGGCGAGGAGAGGCCAGTTCCTCCCCATCAGGAGGAGGAACAGGATGATTGGGTAGCAACAGTTTTTAGTTCTACCTCAAAATAACCTCTCGCACTTAAATTCCACACTCCTCGGAGCGGGTGTGGCTTAATCGGACGTGGGTGGTGCTTAAACCTGGAGTGGGCGGGGTTAATGTGTTGACATGGGTTGAACACAAGTATTTATTAGAAAACTATTCGCAGAATTATGCTTCAGAGCGATGGTTCTGATCACAAGAGTAATAAAGCTATTTACAGAACAACATGTTTGAGAACGGATATTGACATTATGTGTACTGGATACTCAGCCGTAGTGCTGCACATATGATATAGCCTGATAATAAGGTGATAACTGTATCAGCCTTTTGTTTTTAAAACAAACACATGACAGGAACATGATTTCTGAAAAGAATCCCACAAATTTGATTATTATTCAATAATTTTTTTCCTGTTTTACTGATACCAATATATCTGCAATAAGCTAAAATCTCAGATATTTATCAACCTAGTGCTGAGATCCGGGAGGATTACCTAACCCTTTATTTGGAGATAAAAGTGTTTGTAGTAATCCCTCATTGCAGAGGAAAACTGTGTGCACACAACAACATCATAGAATAAGTCAGAGTCCGGCTAACCTGCGTGTGTGAGAGTTTTATCAAACAATGGAACTACCATTAAAGTTCATATCTTTATTTATTCTATCTGCTAATGCTAGTAATCGGTGGTGTTTAATAAATAATAATGACACCAGTTTTTATATAACTCCCGTATTCAGATTATATTAATGCACAATAAAGGGTGTGGCCGCACACTGACTGGTTCAAACTTGGAAAACTCCTGACAGAAAAATGATGAATGAAAAATAAAAAGTAAATACAGAAAATAAAAGTAAGTAAGATTAAATCAAACAATCAATCACACCACTGGGTCCATTAGTCTTCCTCAGCTCTGAGCACTTTAAGAACTTGAGACTTGTTTTTGTCACCTGCTGTTTCTAAGAATAAACTTCAGAATGATAATTTAATGGGACAGAGAGGGAAAATGCATCAAATCAATTTAAGGATTTTAAGGATCAGATCCCCCAGAACCAGCTCAAGTGCTGGAGGGAAGCGTTTTAGCCACATTAATAAAACTAAAATGAAGTTTAAACTTGAAAGCCAATGCAAATGAAATAGACAGCGGTGGTGTTTCAGACGTCCCTGTGTCACTTTCCTTTCTTTCTTTTTAACTCCACCTTCAGTCAATTCATCTATCTATCTCCCTCTTTCTCTACACAGGCTTTTACTTTCCCTCCTCTCCTCCTCTCTATCTCATTTTCCTCCTGTGCTATCATCTGTCTCCATCTGTTCCTGCCTTCCCTCTCCTCTCTTGTCCTGTCACTGCTGTCTGTTGCCATTACTCCGCTGCTCTAACTACATCACGGCTCCTGTCAGTTGTCTCCAGATACCGACCCGGCCATCAGACGAGCATTTCTGCCCTCCATTGTCAAGGTCGGGATTCGGGCTCTGTGATCTGATCCTAGATACCTTCCTCAGAGTGGAAAGAGAGCCTGCAGCGAGGGTGTGTCACAGCTGCTGGAGAGGGCATCGATATCGCAACCGAAGCACCGATATTTACAGTTCTGTCAGGATTTAACTTCACTGATCAATACGGCTATTAACAATCTCTGATGATGTCATTCAATGATGTAATGTACTGTATATTATCGTCTCAGCTCTTTAGAAAAATCCTTTTGGATTTCCTTCTCTGCGGATTTGAATAAAGCTTGATTGATTCCCCCAAAATACCGTATTTCTAACCAGTTTAAATCTATAATACGTAACATTTCTGGCATTAAAATATCTATAAACACAATGTTCTCTATATTTATTCAGGTAATGCTGCGTGTCAGCGTTGTGGTTGTCTGCAGGAAAGCCCGTCAGTACAGTTGAGCTGTATATCCAGCTGAGCCGACAGTTTTTAGTGGAGCTGCTTATTCTGGTTTTTACTGGGTTTTGACAGTCAGTGTTGTGTTGGTTTTCATTCAGCTGACTTTAAGAAAGCAAGAAATAATGTTTTGGGGAATTATTCAAACCATTTCTCTTTGATATAAAACATTCTGTAGCAGTGAACAGAATTTCCTGAGTGAACTTTTTCCCCCCTGAAAGAAACCTGCTCCAGCCGGTGGCAGAATGTGTCCAAACACTACAAAAGCCGGAGCTGTAATGAACTCTGAATCCAACAAACATCTGACAAACGCTGCCACCGCATTCCTTTCACCACACAGCCGAGTCGGGGTGAGTCAGGACCTGCTGAGAGAGGGAGAGCTGGTCACCGATTGTACGAGGAAGCCTCTAACCTTGTGCATTATTAAAAACATTAAGAATTGACCCTGCGGCATTTACCGGCAGCAGGCGCAGGCCGGATGATCCGAGCTACACTGTAAATAAACAGCAGCGAACCGTCACGGTCACACCTTCACGGCCTCTTTCTGTCACCTCCAGAGCTGATAGAAAGCTGAGGAACACTGGAGAGAAACACACGCTGGTGGCTTGAGTCATCGCTGCAGCTACATCCCAGCCTCGTACAGAAAATACAGGTAAACAGCACCCTCTGACCTGGGTGGGGTTTCTTTTTCCTTCTGTCTAAATGAATACAAGCAGGTTGGTTCAACTGAGGTTCACTGGTCTCTCATGTGGCCACATCTCGTTGCACAAAGAACCAAAAAATAAGCTTCACGCATCCACAGGAGAAGGCATACACCGAAAGATCCAAGGGGATCGATTTAAAAGGGGAGGGAGGGGGTTGTCGTGCTAACTAATGAATCTTGGCTCGGTCATGCTATAAAATAGGGTTCCGCCGCCTTTTTAAGAAGTCATTTTCCAGAACATTTTCAGGGAGGATGATTCCGAGCACTTACAATCACATCCTTTGATTCATTTTGTAATCCGTGAAGGAAACTAAGTTTGGTGAAGATGGAAACATTCAGCAGCTGGCAAATATTCGATTACGCTTGATCTAATGGGAAAGTAATATAACTAGTAGTGTAACTAATTACTGTTGGCAGGGAGTAATAAGTGAAGTAATATTACTTTTGAACGCTGATTGTGTTTCATAGGGAGAAAATGTCTCGATGGACTTTTTGGCTTAAAGTGTTAACCAGGGTCACAATATGACTGTGGATGTGATCTTAACGGCTTAAAAAGGCATTTTTCATTTCATCTGACTTTAAACTGAGCCTTGGGGGGGGGGAGGATGAGCCGCCATGTGGAAATCGATCGAGCCCCGGGGAGTGCCCCCCCCCTCCTGAACCTGGATCTGTTCCTGTGATACTGGGAGGATTCTACAGAGAGATAATGAGGGCGATTAGGGAGTGTTTGGGGGGACGTGTGTTCCTCTCCGCTGCTGCGTTACGTTGGTGCCCCGAGGAGAATTAAATACTGATCATTGCTGATAGCTGGAGGTGAGAGTCATTAATCACTTTACTTCCTCTTTGACTCATTCTTGTCTGATACATATCATCACTGTCGGGTGGAAACCTTGTATCTCCATATTTTGGCCATTTTCTTTATAAATCGCTGCTGTTGGTCTCTTTACGTCTGTCTGTGGGTTTAACCATTAAAACCAACTACACCAACTAACAGCAGAGTGTTCAATGGTTTTTCCAACATACACAGACGTTGGAGCCTGTTATCTTATTTTATTTTATGTTACACTGACACTGTTATGTGTTTATTCTGTGTTATGTTTTTAATCTCTCTTTAACAGTTTCTCTGATTGTGTTTTTGGCTGTATTCTGCCCACCTCGTGTTGTTTTAATCTTACTCTTTATTGCTGCTATTTTGTGTATATATAAAGCACTTTGTTTTAAAAACCAATAAAGTTATTGTTTATGCATTTACGCTACAGTTACTTTAAAAATGCAAAACAAAACCAGTTTAAATCTTCGCTCTGTGTTAAAAGTTGAAGATTGATTGACGGTTGAATATCAGGATATTATCGGTTCACGTTCATGTCAGCGTGCGTCACACTTTGTTCAGTGTTGGGGCAGTACGGGATTACTGGTAATGATATTACAGATACCCCACAAAATAATTAGTTACAACCTTACTACCCTAATGATTTAAAATCCAATCTGGATTCATTTTTGGACTCGTGCACACCACGAAGCAGGAAAGTAGCTTGGAAGATGGAAACATTTAGCAGGTGGAACAATGCATACTAACTTTTAAGATATTTTTGAGGCCTTGTATGCCTTTATTTTGATAGGACAGGTGAAGCTAGAGAGGAAAGAGGGGAGGGAGGAAGGGTAAAGGCATTGATTGTTGTGTTAATTGAATCACACTGACAGTATTTGTTGAATGAAGCGTCTCTCGGTGATGATGGCGTTGGCGGTGAGTTACGATCTCTGGATAAACGCAGTCACATCTTCTGACTGCACCACGGCGGCTTTATGAGTGATGATGTCACATCCCGCTGTGACGTGATGAATGCTGATGTCACATCCTCCTGTCTGCGCGTTGCCAGGGCAAAGACTGATGATGTCACAGCCTGCTAATGGCCTGTATTAATATCAGCGGCAGGGTTCCTCCATTAGCGTAATGGGCCTGATAATGATGATGATAGCTTCAACATAGAGCTGTCTGCGGCGGCAGCGGCGGCAGCCAGCTGTAAGTGATGATCCAGCAGCTCCGGGGGTCTTTATCCTTTTCCCTGCAGGAAACATTTACCCATAACCCACCAGGGACTTAAAGTGCAACCATGTGACCTGTGAAACTGCACATTCAGATCTCTCTCGTTTTGAATCGGGTGAAGCAGCTGCTTACAGTTTGCAGTGTAATGAGGGGAGAGGAGGAGGATGGAGACTTGGCTACCAGCGTAAAATAATTCATTTTACTAATTCTACTGGCCCGAATATTCATCAACAACCCCCCCCCCACATGCTGCAGTCACACAGCTTGAAATGACTGCAGTGAACCAACAGTTGTGGTGTTGTTTGCTTTACCATCAGCAGGGGTGTAGCAGAGAAACCTAGACCCCTGACCCCATTTCTCCTCTTAATACGTCCACTGTCATCTGAACACCGGCATCTGTGGTGGTTATTAGTGTTCACCTCCATTAAATGTTTCCAACAATGTTTAAATCCAGAGAGATCTGTCATTTTATTTTGGTAGCGCGTTCGTCAGTTTCACTGGTTCCCTTTTTCAAACCTCTGAATTGCAGCAGAAGTCTGAAACCAGGCCAGACTCAGCCAGTCTCAGCTTTATAGGCAGGATTACTAAGGGGGGTGCCGTCATTTTGTGTCAGAACCAGAAAAAGAGCAACAGAAGAACTGCCTACAGAAGGGGAGACAAGCATGGATGATTGATACAGCTATACATGCTTCTGTAAGTGGACTTATACAACTCTGGAATCTGCACTGCTGGTTGGTTGGAGCTGAATAATCCCTCCTCCAAAACAGTAAACGAACACAATGTCTAAATCACTAAATAATGATGTGGAATTAAATGACAGTTCAGTCTGATTATCAGGCTCTAACGGGGCTAAAACAGAATCAGAAAGGTCATTCACACTTTATAAAACAAAAAGCCCGTAAATGAATCTCTGCTTGTTTGGACACTTTCAGCCCACATATTCCTTTGAAAAGGTAAAAACGTAATAGAATCCATTTCTCACAAAAAGTCCTTTAAGGCGGCTCTGTGATGGTTGTCAAGAGGATGAGTGGCTTCATAAAACCAAGTGCCAACAGGGGCTGTGGTGATTTGAGATGAGCTGCATCGATCTAAGCTGTCTAAGCACACAACTAGAATTGATAGCGCTATAACGCCATTTCTATCCAATTCAAGCTGTGTGTGTCTAAGTTTAGCCCATGCCACCAGCTTAAAGCATGACTCATGCTGTCAATAGTGGGGAGAGATGCCCCATGGTTAGTTACTGCTGTGATGGTAGCCATTATTATGACTGCAGTTTAATATCCCACACACAAACACACAAGGTGCCAAATAAATGTATTTAACTCCAGTGTGTGTCGCCCTCCTCCAACAGGTAGGTCAACGCAGTCTGATAACAAACTTAAACTTACATTACTGATCCGCCATAATCAAACAGCAGTGACTGTGAAAGTGAAATGGAGAAAAATCACCTTCATTTTAGAGAGATTACAAATTACATATTGCTCTCCCTGAAATATCTGTATTCAGATTTATACTGAGGCTTATACCGACAGTTTTTGCCAATAAAATAAAAATATACGATATTAAGATATTATTAATACAATTTAGGCTTGATAATCAAATGTTTGTGTTCATGTCATATCAGAATGATGAGATAAAAAGTCAAAATTAGGAGATAAAAGTCAAAATAATGATAAAAAAGTCAAAATGAAGAGAAAAAAAACCATAATTATGTGATAAAAAATCTAAATTATAAGATAAAAATCTAAATGAAGAGAAAAAGGTCATAATTTGGAGATAAAAGTTCAAAATTATATAAAAAAGCCAAAATTAAAAGTTTAAAAAATGGAAATTAAGATTAATTAAAATGTCAAAATTATGAAAATTTGGCTTTTTATCTCAGAATTTTTAACACTTAACATGAACATTTATATATTTATATTGTTAGAAGATTTATTTTTCTATATAAATTCATAATCCTCATACAAATATAAACTTCAGTTTATCTTCAGAATCTTAATTAGCATCGTTCATAACACCTGTTCATCCTTTATTTCATGTGAAAATTGTCTGTTAAATGCTTATCGAGATAATATCAGCATTATTTTGGCCAGGACAACGTCGGCGGTGCCTGCTTACTGACCCGGGTGCAGTTGTTGGCCTTGGGCTCCAGCTCGGTGACCTTGGTGATCTGCTTGAGGAAGTCAGATTCCTGCATCCCCGGCTGGGAGCCGCGCCGCTTGAACTGCGCCCGCGGGTTCGCCAGGATCACCTGGAGGTTCACCGCAAAACCTGAGAGAGAGAGAGAGAGAGAGATGGAGGGAGAGGGAGGGAGCATGGTTAGCCAGCATGGATTAACAGCACATTATAGGTCTATTATAATCACAGCAGAAAGTGATAGAGTGCATTAGTGTATCTAATGACTATGATATGGCTGATATGAAATGCATTTACCACAGGGGTCTGCCATTTTCCTGCCATAATTGTACTATAGATGAGAAGGAAAGCATGAGAAAGTCAGAGGGAAGTCAGCAGAGGAGAGGTAGGGATTAATGGCTAGCTTGCAACCAGATTTAATCAACCTGATTAGAAAAATTGGTAACAGTGGGAGAAAATCTGACACCACGTAATTACTTTGAAAGCAAAAACATATTAGCTGTCCTACAAGCAGGAGTACGTCTGAAGGTTGAAAAGAGATTCTGATCGTGAGATTAATGCTCAGACTATTTCCCATCACTCAGATTATCCACGTTGGAGACGAATCAGAGGATCTCAACTCAAACACTGAAGCTAGCGTCGTCTACTGCTGCACTGGGTCCCATCAGCATGTGCGTGGCGAACACGTCATTCACACATTCAATGTGTTGTCTGACCCGGCGGCTGGAGGTCTGAAGGTGACACATGATGTGTCCCTTACACATCTTTTTGCCTCCACCTCTGGCTGACTCTTCAGGGAAAGAACACAGCGCTCACAGATGGAGCTGTGGAAACTACGGACAACAGAATAGATCTATGAGAGTATATATAAATTGATTGAACTCCAGTTACATAAGTACGTGGGTAGCCTTCCTTTACTCTGTATGTTAAATAATGTACAGTTACTGTGGGGGAATATAATTAAAGCATGATACAGAAACCTAAACTGCAGCTCAATAAGACAGTACAGCAGTGCTGTGAGCTAAATGCTAACAGCAGCATACTAACACAATGACAGTGTTAAAGAAGCAGTTGAGGCTGATGTATGCATGTATTGGACATACAGCGACGTACTGGGTAATGTTGTTACAGTAGATTGTGGGGAACAGGAATGTCGGTCTCCACGCAGTCCATCACACAGTTTCCATCCAGTACTTCAGTCTGGATCAAAGTGGAGGACTGCTGACCCACATTGCCTGGAGCTACACCACAAGTGTGGCTCCAAAGCTTTTTGTACACATAATACACAGAGCAGTTTGTGGTTCTGAGGGTTGTAAAACTCTGATATCATTCACTCTCAAAGGAAAATTTCAAAATTATTATATTTTATTATTATAAATCCAAAATTAACTCTGACTGAACTGTTTTTTCCCAGCTGTCCAAAGACGACATCCTTATGGTTTCCTGTCCTGTACAGCCTCAGTTCACCTCCACTGGACGGAAAACAAATCCCATCAGCACCTTCTCTCCTTCATTCTGCCTGCTGAGTAACTCTTTCAGCCTCTCTCTGAGTCAGTATACAGACCCACGTTCACCTAAATCTAATTTGAAATGAATTACCACTGCAGTAGAATTCACATTTTATCCGTTATATCAAAAACTTTAAGAAATAAAGAGTTGTTACTGCATTGTGTTGGTGATTGTGTCCAACATCTTCACCTCCAATCACTTTTACCCATCAGCTTAAAGGACCAGTGTGTTAGTTTTAGTGGCTTCTAGCGGTGCGGTTGCAGTGTCTCATTCTAAGGTAACAAACACGTTTCTTATTTTTAGGTGATTATACACTAATAACAACATAGCTATGGATATTATATTACATTTCTCTCAATAAATCCCCCTAAATGTTTCACACTGAACCTTTAAAGATCAAGTATCGCATTGCGTATTACTGTCACTGAGATGTTCAACTAGCTAAAGACAACATTTCGTTAACTGAGCTCAATTTTCACAATTCATCAAAAATCTAACTCTTATGATTATGAATGCAACAGAGTATTGTGTTCATGTTAGAAGAGAAGATATCAGTCGCAGTCCACCAACAACAACAACCCTCCAACGGGTTTGAAATGCAGGTTTTCTCTTATAAAAAGTTCATTAACAGCCAGAAACTGTAAAAACAGATCAGATTTTTAAATTTCAGATGGACCTTGAACAACACCATCAGGAAAAACAACCAAATCTTATCTAAAATAGTGATATTTCATCAAAAGCACTTAACATGGGCAAAGATAAACTGTTACTAACAGCATCCTGTAAAAAACATTAAATTCAGAGATAGAGGACACAGAGGTGAAGGATTCATACAATGATATTAAATCCTTTTCAGACAATATTGGGAACACTTGTGGGACTTGTAGATTTGACCGTTTAAATATATTACCAGAGAAATTCAACATGCTTTTTTTCTTTCTTTTTATTATTTACGTCATTATAACTGTGTGATAAAAGAAGTTGATTGCTCAACACTTCTAGCCATGACTGTGCTGTTTTTCCACAGAGGTGCAGGACTTAACACACAGACAAATACTGTATTCTGAACCTTACTGAGGTATAAAGTATTAAAGCAGAATTTACTTAAATAAGTCATCGAGCAGTAAAATGTTCTGTGTTTTACTTTTATTTATGATGGTTTTGGATTAATATTAGTGCTCCATTAATGTTGCATTTTACTGCTGTATTAAAGTTGAGTTTATTTTTTACATACTATATGTACTGTTTGGTAGTTTTGGCCTTGGTGCCCTAAAACGTTGGCAAACCTTGACGTGGTTTCTTGTGTTCTGAAGTCTCCGATGTTGGAGCTTCATACTAATACTTGAATGCACCAAAGCAGAAGCCTTTTAAAAATGAGGCTTTTACCTTCCACAGGCATAATTTAACTTGATGAAACAGTGCAAAGCCTCTGCAAGTTAATATTCAAACAACCTGAAATCAGTGGCTGCCTGGAAGGTTGGAAAAACACAATCCACACAATGGTGTAAATTAAAGCATATGCCATTTTTAGTGAATGGGTCCTTAAACGCCTCATCAAGACGGCAGTGAATGTAAATGAAAGTGTAGGTGTAGTTAAGTTTTTTAAGCAGCATTTCTCTTGCTGAAGTTTCGAGTTTGGAGCGTGACATGAGGTTATTTTCAGAAAATTTCTGAAAATCCTTGGTGCACAAGGTCTCAGCATAATTACTGAATATTTATTTATGCAAATCATTAGTGGGTGGCACGCCTTGGCAATCAGTGCATTAGTGTAGGAATTCACCCCGAGTAATTCACCCTCCTCGCCTCCTCCTCTCTCCCTCTCTCCTTCCGGCTGAACAGCATTTTCTGGGCTGCGGCTATCCTGAGGCACTGACACATGCATGGCCAGCAGACAGCAGCCCTCTGAGTAATGTGAGTGTCAGCGCGGGTCACACAGACAGAAACTGTAGACATGCAAATGGGTTTGGCTTAAGTTTGCTGCATTTCAGGCCAGGTAGACCATCACAAACACACCCTAACTCTTCATCGTGTACTCGCTGGCACGTACACACACAAACATACACACCAGACTGAGAGCAATTTAAAGACTCATACAGGACTGATAACCACTATATTTTCATTCTAGGATAACATTTTAGGGTAGTGCACATTGATTTATACCCACACAAAGACACACACAGACTGATATAATACCTATTCAGCTGTTAGGTCACTCTGGTATCAGGCTTATTACGGCTCTGTGTGCGATACTGCAGGCTAATAACACAGATAAATGCAGCTCAGGTGCAGGAGACAGATATGAGAGCAATTACAAGATAGACATCTTCCAACCTGCAGACAGCCTCTGTCATATGGAGATCACAGCTTAACTGAGCCATGTTTGCCCAAGAGGCTATTGTCCAGACTCTGCACTAACTTTGTCCCACTTTACTGCTGACCCACTCTGGCTGACCTATATGACTGTATGTGTCTAGTGAATGCTACATTACCCCTTTCTACTGCCTGTAGTTCATCATTACATTGGTCAGAAAGTAGGGGGATTGGAAGTGTTTTAAAACTTTCCTGATCGATATTTTCTGTACAGATTGTGTGAGCTTACTGTCTGTTTTTCATTTCATAACCATTTTATGTTTTTACTGAAGGAACCAGACTCTAAATTTAGTTCCTCAGTCATACTTCAACACGTTCTCACTCTCCTCAAATACTGCCACTGGGTTAGTGGCATCATTAGTGTAGCATCATGTCTGGTCACGCAGGGCTCCGCGGTCAAGTTAGCAATAATAAAAATGGAAGTCCAGTATAGTGCTGTCACTCACCTGATGTAACATACGTATGAAGAGAAAATTGTCTGTTTTCAGTTTCATATGGGACATGAACAGCAGTCTGTGTTTGTTTGTCCAGAATTAACAGAGGGGTGACCTACAGCGTCATAGAAAGAGAGGACCACTGACCGACCGGCACTATTTGACAACTTGGGGATGAGAACGTGTTGCCTCAATATTCACAGGAAATAATCTGCCCAAATTTCATCTTGTTTTACACAAACCTGCTGTTTTTTATCAGTTCATCAGTTGGTCTGTACTGTTGGATATAATATGAAAATAATATGAAATATCCATAAAATAAGTAAAGGGTTGTCAGATAAGGGGTCCCTTAAGGAAAAAGGTTGGTTTGAACCACTGACCTAGAGCCACAAAGTCCACTTGTGCTTTCTGATATTCCATGAACTATCTGGAGAGAACTACAGTATGTAAGAGTTTTCAGTTGCTAGAACACAATTAACACACACAAGCATAGTATCACATTATTCTGAGAGCGAGACCTGGCCGAGGTAGCAGCTGTACAAAATCACAACATATTAAAACCTGATACACAAAAAAAATCCATAATAAAACCGAAGAACTATTCAGACACAACGACCACATCACCACATGCTTCATGATGCACAATGGATAGAACTGTGTCGAAGATCTTTTTGCTGATTATTTTATGCCTACGGTGCATAGTATGAAAATGCAGTCTTCCCCAGATCTGTCAAACCCCGGGAGACAATAAAAAGCAACCACTAACTACCAGAGCTGACACAGGGAGTTTACCCAGTATCACTTTATAAATAAAAATGTACC